GATATTTTATTTTGAAAAAATTATCAAACTACTTCCAATGTTAATAAATATGATATAAAAGTCCCGATATAGTATGTTTTCATGATTCCTCAAAAAAAAAAAAATCCTAAAAAACGACGAAAAAAAAGCTTTCAAAGTAGACGACCCCCTTAAATTATAATTGGAAAGTTCCACGCCCAATATTGTCTGAGGAAAGTTACAATTTTAATTCTCATTGAAGATAATTTACGTTATCAAAGACAATATTTTTGCTTGCGAGCAAATCTCTCGGTAATTAATTTGATGTAACTGATTGATTGATTGATTATTATTACACAAGCACAAGTTTTGCTTGCGGTTATACGATACCGTTGATTTTCCTTTATGCAATTTCTTTTTCCGTAACTTCGTATTATACCGTTAACGATCGAGATATAAAAGAAATTTAAACGCTTGACTAATCGCATGTTCGTTAAATATTACATTCGTAATTATGGTATACCAGAACAATTTCCATTGGCGGATATTAAAAGCAAACATTAATGTGAAATTCGATAAAATATAAAGCTTGCTGCTTTCCGCGTGACTGGCTCATTATTGCCATTCGGCGTGGAAATGCGAAGTGCAATCCTGTATTCGCGCCATTAATGAGAATTTTAATGTTACGTTGATATATATAACGTATGATAATATTAGCGAGATCATATCTTTTCATTGTCACGTGCGCGTGCGGTTCTTACGACACGTTGCTCACGAATTGCCAGTTCGAGAGTGCCATATCATAACGCGCGAGCGGCGACGCAACCGCATGGAGCATCGTGAAGCAATTACGTAAGTAAAATACGTAAATTGCGATAATTTCGCGGCGCATATAATTATAATAACTGTCGGTTATTTTCTGCGGTTTTTTTCCTGCGCTATTTGTAATGAAGCGACAAATCAGCGCATAATTCAATTTATGCAATGCTTATGCACCGAGACACCGCGTCATGCGTCATTCTTCCCGTCGTTTGTAATGCAAACCGTAAAAATTGAGATTCTCTACTTATCAACGTAAAATTATTGTCGGATAATGACGTAAATGCTAGTTGTAAACACAAAGTTTTCTTCGGAGTATATAAATAGGAAATATACGTATAAATGCGTCGCCTTTCTTACATTCGTGATAAGGCCAGATATAAATTGAAATTCCTCGTTTAATAAAAAAAAAAAAAAAACAGAATACTACTAATTGTAAATAATACATTTACAAGTACGAATTTTTTTTATAATATGAAACACATATATAAATGCTTCTTATTTCGTTCAATTTATAATAAAAAAAAATTTGTTACTCAAATCTGCAGACATGCAATAAATTGGTATAAAAATTATTTTATCTAAACCCTACGAATGTGTATCAGATTCACCTGTGATAATTGTGCTGCTGGATATCCTCCGTTGCGCTGCAGCTTAAATCTCTGCTTTGTAAGTTTCGAACATAATATTGATCGCTGCTCTGCAAAACCGGAGGTACCGCGGGCCTTGAATCTCATCGAATTATATGAAATATGAACTTATATAAAACCTTGTTATCGCCGGAAAAACCTTCAAAGCGCGCTTTCGACAGCGGAGTATTGTCGGCAAGTTATCTCGACTGCTACGAGCGACCACGATTGAAATGCTCCTGAGACGATACTTTGGAGACTTTGGAAAATCAATTTCTCGCGGGTGGTAAAAAATGTAATCTGAGGTTTTTTTCGAAACAGATCTTCCTTAAGCGTTTCGTTTCTCATAAAATAAAATTCTCATTTTTAATAATAATTAATAATTAATAATTGAATGTTTAAATAATTTTGAATTTAGATTTTGTAAAAAAAAGAGATCAGCTCTCTTTTTACGATAGAGTAACGTGTCATATGAACTAATCTTTGCAAACGATTGTATCTAAATAACAAACGAAAAGTTTTAATACTCAACATAATATGATAAAGCTCTGTTCTTATATAACGTTAATAAAAAAAATGATTTAACTTACTCACTAGAATTTAACTTGGTAGTGTGCATCATTAGCATAAATTTTAAGAACAAAGATATATGTATATAAGAGGGCAAAAAAATCTTAAAATAATAGCTTCTCAAGAAGCATTAAAGTAGCACATTAAATATATGCAGCACGTGCACGAACGCGACAATGATTGATACGTGCAACAGGCGCGAGCGGGCGCGTATAACCATGGTTTATCTTCGCATTTATCTTCATGTTTATCTACGGAATTAATATAAATTCACATTTGCGGGCTGATGGATGCTTTATCAAATTCCATTAAAGCGATAAAGTAGCGAGATCAGAAGATGTTGCCTTTCGATGAAAGCTGCAGATTAACAACGCGTCCAATGATAATGTCATCGTCAAACATCCAAGGGATTAATATATTAATTAAGCGCGTGAAGAAATTTACGCGAATAATCTTGCAACTGTTTATCGTGGTATTTTCAATTTGTACACCCTCAAATTTTGTACAATTACAGCTAGTCTGTCCGTCGTCGCGACTGGCGCGATGATGTCGTGGACGAGTCCGGTCCTACCCAACTTGGAGAAGAATATCGGACCTCTGGGGTCAGCGATCAGCAGCGAGCAAAGCTCCTGGATAGGATCTCTGATGTCCATCAGTCCTATTTTCGGTAGCTTCGGGGCGGGATATCTCGGAGAAAGGTACTTTACACATTAATCGTATACGATCGCACGCACGAATAATTTCGCGAGGTAGCGATTTATATGTAACCGGCGCGCTCTATTTCTCGAGACCACAAGTTGGAAACTAGAGTCAATCTTCGTAAAGAGATGAAGCGCGATATCAGATTCAAATATCTGACGGCTGAACCGAAGACGATGAGAAACTGACTTTTTTTTCATCGTTATTTCTATAGATTGGGTCGCAAATGGACGTTGTTATCTTGCCTCGTGCCGTTTTTAATTGGATGGATACTTGTCGCCACTGCAGGTCACGTTGCTCAGCTTTATGTCGCTCGATTAATATTTGGATTGGCTCTGTCTATCGTATTCACGATCCTACCTATGTATTGTGGCGAAATTGCAGAGGTAAGTTTATTTTATATACATGCATAAATACGATACAATCGTCTGTACGCAGAGTTTTCCAGGATTTCCGCATTTTCTTTTGATCCTCATTTAAAAGATGATAATTAATTGGTTCTTAATTTGGTAAATTTTTTATCATTTTGATCATATCTTTTTGCTGGATTTTCCAAAAATGTATATCCTATTTTTCAAAATTTATAAAAATAACTAGAATAAATAAAACTACTGTTTTAATCAACAATTCGAACTACTTATTACTCACTACTACTATTTTAAATTTGTTAAGTAATATTAATATTTAATATTGATTAAATTGCTCATTATATATATAATAAATAAAAATAAAAAATTTATGTAGCTATTGTTACATCTTTTCAGATTTCTATCAGGGGAGCATTGGGCTCTTTTCTTCAGCTCTTCATCACGATCGGTTTGCTATATTCCTACGCTATTGGACCGTTCGTTAGCTACACGGTCCTTTGGATTCTCTGTGGCATCCTGCCGGTGATCTTCTTCGTTTGCTTCATGTTCATGCCGGAGTCTCCGTATTTTCTTCTCACCAAGGGCCGCAGAGATGAGGCAATCGCATGTCTGGCGAAACTCCGAAGCAAACCTGAAGCGGCTGTTCAGAAGGAGGCCGACGAAATACAGGTAAATCATTATGCAGAGCATAATTTTTTTTGTAAAATCTAAAAGTTATTTCCTAAGAATTTCAGAACCTTAAGATTCTTCTTAAAATTTTAAAGATAAAAAATGAATTCAAATCTCAGTTGATCTCGTATTAATTCTTTGTTGAGAAATTCAAATCGTTAAAATATTCAATTTTATGAAAAATTCTATCAGAAAAATATACAATCAGTATAAGTTGTTTTAATAAAAATTACACTGAGCAACAAAAAATTAACTTTTCTTTTGCCTTAAGAATTCACAAGTCATTTCTTACGTATTTTTGACTGCTAAACATGAATCTGGACATGAAATGTTTTTATTAGATCAAGATTTTGAGAAATCTGCTATAGCCACTATTGCAATAAATTGCAAAATTTAATTTTACAAATTTTTAAAATTTTACCGGTCTAATATTAAATTTGCCAGTTTGAATTTTTGTAATAAGTTTAGATTCGTGTTCAGCGACCTCAAAAATATAAAAGTCATATTTTGGTGGAAATTTATTTTTTAAAATTAAATACCTTTGAACGGGTGTATATATTAAGTAAGGTCAGTTTCAGTGAGATAAAATCAGTTTTAAAACTACTCTTGTTCGATTTACTTTTTATCCTGTAGCGATAGTTTAGATCGTTCATTTCAAACTTTGCGAAAGTTTATAGCATATCCCAGTCCAGAGTTATTAATTGAAAAATGTTAAAATTGCGATTTTAGCAATTTTCTCAAAATCCTGACGTCAAGAGATATTTCACGTCTAGATTCGTGTTTAGCAGCCATACACAAGAAATGACTTGTTAGACCTCAAGGCAAATTTCGTGTTCCGTTGCACAGTGTTATTAATTCCATTCGCGGCCGTTTATGGCTTCGTTGATCTCTCAGCAGGTCGCTCGAGTGACAAGGTGATTGCTAATGCTCCCTGCACTGTTACGAGCACGTACTCGATCATTGCTAAGCGCATGTCCGAGTATATGTATATGTCCGTTAGACAAACGAGGTCGCGGCTAAGGCCGTTCCTTGATCCTAAATGACAATGTCGCACAGTCGTGAGGGACAATTGTGACTGGCTTGCAAATAACATTCCTTCCTACAATGTAGAATCCCGCAGAACTGCCGGATGTTCCTTCAATCGTACTTACGTAACCGTATGGTAAACAGAGAAAAGCAACTGTTTCAGCGTTGAAATAGCCGTAAAATATAGTTGCAAAAATAATTAACGTTAAAAGCCATTTTGAGAAACTAAGGAGATGCTCAGATTGTAAGACGATTAGCTTCGGTCAATTTTCTTGAATGAAACTTTATCTTTTAATGGCAATTTCGACTCTTCATTATCCCCTTAATTTCAGATATCAATATTCCAGGCAGACTGTCACGCTCCAATTTTCATGTATTTACAGCTCAATAAATTCGTTTCTCGCTTTCAATTTTTCAGGCAATAATCGACGAGGCTTTCAAGAATCAAGTCAGCATCTCGGACCTGTTCAAGGTGAAGGCGAATTTCAAGGCACTGCTCTATACCTGCGCCATGGTTTCCTTTCAGCAGCTTACCGGTATCAACGTCGTGCTGTTCTATATGCAGAATATCTTTATTGACGCCGGAGGTGCCGTCCCAACGGAGGTAGCGCCGATTATCATCGGAGTGGTGCAGGTGTTAGCGTCAGCGGTGACACCCGTGGTTGTCGACAGGTCAGGTAGAAGGTTGCTCCTCGTTTTCTCCGGCGTCGGGGAAGTAGTCAGTTTGGTGAGTAATTGCCTCTATTTTTAGATCTGAACTCAAATTAATCAACTATGAATCAGAAAAAAATATACGGGAAAATAGATAAAAAAGAAATTGATTCTATTTGAATCTGGGATGTAATTTAATTATGAAAGAGTTATAAAAGAGAAGTTTGTTAAATTTTTCTTTGCCTTTGATGGTATATATTATCTCATAGATCTCATTGATCAAAGATCAAGATTAGCAATGGAAATTAATTATAATAGCGTTAAAGTTCCGCGTTTTTAAATGCAGGCATAATGATAATATTCCATTTAGAAGAAATAGAATACAAGACTATGCTATACTATTATAAAAAGTATATCCTTGTTCTATCGTCTCAATTTTTATATTTCTAAAAAAACCGGTTGCAGGTTCATTTATAAAACATTACAATCGATAAAATTATTACTACTTATACAGTATACACTTAGTTTGAAAACATTATGTAGAATTAATGCGCGACCTAGCATTTAATATATATCTTACACAAAGTTCTCGTACTGCTCTTTTGATAAACAGCAGATTGATTTGAAAATTTGCATGAAAAGTGTGTCCGAAATTACCGTATTCATGAAGCGACAGAGCCATAGCGGTTTCCCGTAAAGTTTACTTCCTGTTTTACGGAACGAGTTGTAATTTCGTTGTCTTGCGACAGAATGATGAACCTGAGCAGGGTCTTTGTTAGAGTGACCATGCATTGCCGCGTCGATTAGAATTTCAAAGGAACCACAAGGAATTTAGATTAGGGAACCGTTAAAATTATAAAGATAAATTCAACTTCAAGAAACGCGATTATCTTAAAAAAAAAATCGTATTTAATCAGCACGCAAGTGCAATTGAATTTTAAATCAGATGCAAATTAATATTACTATTATAAGCAAAATTACCACTTTGATTAGCTTCTTCATTTTAATCTCATTAAACAGATCTGCTTTTCATAAGCATCGTGATTATAGAGCGTTAAATGAGATAAAGTAGAGCAGACTAAAATTCTGTAGTGTATTAATCTAGTACTGACAGTTTTATATCTTACAAATATTTCTTGTCGGCGATAATTTGATGGCGCGAATTAATACGCGCCGATTCATTTTCATTTACTATATTCAGATTACGTTCAGCTCATTAAATCGCATTCCCCGTTCACGATCGGGATGCATAATTACGCTCATTGCTAGTTGCCGTAAATTGCGCCATTTAACTTTGATTCTTTCTTTTATCGCGCATCTCGCCTTCGAGGAAATCGTTCTCAGGACGAACGATTTAATTACCCGACGTAGAGGATCATACCGCGATTTGATATCGCCGTTCGCTACTCGTTGTACGATCCTCTCTGTAGATCGGATAAGAATGAACGCGACAAGGTAAAGTCCTCGTGCTCGGTAAAGTCCGACGCGGGAAATGCAATATCGAGTCGCGCGCGGGGATGTATAATGTCCGCGAGACGAGGAAGGTCTCGCCGAGCATCACTGTATATATGAAATATGAATTATTATTATTACGTATTCCGAGATGGAATGCATCGGATGCATTTCAGTGCACACAAAGCGCGAGGACTTCTACGTGGACTGTGTGTGCGCACGATTACATAATCTGTAATAGAAAATAGACGCGCGTACGATAAAACACGGCAGCGACCGAGGGATATGAGAAAATTGTAATTCTTGCGTTCTAGAATTTTTTTAAAACACGAATCTCTTTTTCCGTTGTCATGCGAATTTACTTTAGAAGTAAGCTTAGTAGGTTATAATATTTTGGGAGTTTAACCCTGGATCACCGTGTCGGTGTACATACAACGTATTCAGTGCAAGTCATTTAAGAAAAAAACTGCATTTCTTTAAATCATTATTTGAATATATTTCTAAAATATTTTTTATTTGATTTTTGTTTATCTGTCTTTGTCAGGCTTTGAGATGTCGATTTTACACATGTTGAACCAAAAAATATGCTTTCGGTTCAGAAATATAGCGTGACGAAGTTACAAAAATCACAGTGTGGCGGAAAAGCAACCAAAAATATAACACTGGTGACCTAAAGTTAATATGTATGTAAGATTAATAGTAAACATGCATTCTCGTGACGACGCGTCTGCACCAGATCTTTTTAACGCCAAACGTGTTCAGTATAGCAAATTGAATTTTTTTTGTCATTCAAATTTAATTGGCCTTTTTGCTCTTTCTTTCCGGGCTTTTATCACGTGCTTGTCGTGTGATCAAAGAGAATCATTTGTTTTGCAGTGTGCCCTGGGCTTGTACTTCTACCTGAAGGACGTGCAGAACGCGACCGACGTGGTGCAGCAGATATCCTGGCTGCCGGTGGTCTCGCTCGTCATCTTCGTCGCCACGTACAGCGTGGGCTGGGGCCCGCTTCCGTGGGCGGTGATGGGCGAGATGTTCGACCCGAACGTCAAGGCCAAGGCTTCCGGTATAACGGTTTCCGTCTGCTGGGGTCTGGCCTTCATCCTCACCAAGTTCAGCAGCAACCTCCAGAAAGGGTTGGGCAATTTCGCGACCTTCTGGATGTTCGGAGGATTCTGCATCCTCAGTATTCTCTTCACGGTGTTCCTGCTGCCCGAAACGAAAGGCAAGACACTTCAACAGATCCAGGACGAGCTCAATGGCGTGACTTCGACCGCGAGCGTCGAGAACGGGACGAAAAAGTGAGGCGGAAAGCACTCGCGTTCGGTGATTATCCTGACGATGAAAACACCCGACGAATTCGCCGAACACTTTGAAGAGATTAGATAATTATAAAAAATGTTTAGATAAAGTTTTACATTTTTATGATATAGCTAAAGGATTTGATATCTTTTATAGCGGAGGGGAATTAGGTAGAGTATCAGAAATACGAATAACGCATGTGCCTATCGTTCCACTGCCAAATTTATAGAGATATAGGTAGTACGGGTAAAAAAAAGAAATATTTTACGCTTGGACCATCGTTCAATCTCCCGTTATCAAATGTTGCTCGAATCACAAAGAAAAATGGAAAAACGAACGAATATGATAGTCCAATAATTTTAAATAAAACGTACGATCAGTGTTCAGGAAATCCGGAGAGGATGAAACGGGGATAGGCTATATATTTTTGCTCACATGCACACGGATATAATTTTGTTGTTTTTTACATGATACCAAAATACTTCATCGTCTTCCAAACACGTTTATGTAACATGGCACACAGCAATTGTATGTATGTACATAATGGAAGTCATGCATAACATGCATATTTATAAATACGCTCGCGTTAACGATACTTCGGTATAACGTTTTCATTGTTCATAAACATCGTTTTTTCCGAGCGTGAGGGAATCTGTGATGTGTTGGTAAACGTTTCTATACGTTTTCAAGCGAGTTTCTGCCTGATCTGCGATTAGGAAACACGGTAGAGCGACAATCTATAACTTTTCTACTTATATCTCATCAGGATTTTTCTAGTATTACATAATTGTGGACGTAAAGTACGAAAAACCAAAAAGAATTAATTTTCGTGGCGTATTTCTCGTTTCACGGATGAGAGACTAGTCATTTTATAACGCGTCTGCATAGAGAACGTAATTGATCGACGACGCCGGAGAGATATCGAAATTTAAAGGAAAATTTTATGTCGATTATTATTGAAATTTGAAATTGTTAAAGCTGCCACTAAATCGATGAATTTATATAGCGCGAAGAAAAAACGGTATGGAGCACAACTTTGTTGTTTTTAATAAATATTGACAAAGTCATTATCGGTATATTTACAAAATATACACAGAAAGAATTTTCTTTTAAAATTTACCCTAAAATTTTTGTTAATCGTGGGACAAAATAGTATTTCGATAAATTTTACTGTGCACTACAATAAATTGTTGTAATATATATTTTTAAAAATAATGAAAACCATATAAAATTCGTCAAAATACTATGTTGTCCTATGATTAACATGATTTTCAGGGTAAATTTTAAAATAAAATTATCTCCGTGTAATTTTCATTACAATTTGTGTACAACGTAAATCATTAATCACGTGAACAACATAATTTTTAGAAACAATACCCAAACATGTATTATTAGTTGATTTATGTTAATTTTCTAAGTTATTATAAGTGATATTGTAATACTGTCTTTAATACTATTTTAATAAGTGCGCGATGCATTTCTTGTTCTTAGTAATTTAACGAGAGATATGACAATGTTTTAATTTAATATCGTCTTAATATATTTGATACGGTTAAAAATTTCAATAAAAAATATTTTATAAAAAGTAAATCTTTCTATTTTTTTTTAACAATATTGCATTCAAAATCTAATTTGATGGATAAAATTATGATAATGAAAATTATAATTATATAAAAGTGATTCTATTTGACAAATAATGCCCTTAATGCATAATGTGGTTGCACATGTTGATCAACGAAGATTTTTATAAACAATTTATATGTACATAGATATATTGACTTTATACTTATTAAAATTATCTTTTATAAAATATATGTAGAGAAAAAGCGTTTTACACACATTATATTAATAAATAATGAATGACAGCGTCTGTAAAGTTCCTTTTGCCTTTCGCATTAAAATATTTGGATTTATGCGAATGGCAAATCATTTACGAGAACGACAGACGTTTTTCAAGAACAGTGCTCTACTCTATCTCTGCTACATATCAACTGTTTTTAATCATGTTGTATATATTTTAATACATAATGACATATTTTTGTATAATTATTATATAATTTATATAATTATTGCGATTCTAAATAAATTATATAAATATATTTCAAAATAATGTTTACGCTTGTTGGAATTTTATGACGAACACTATGAAAAAATTCCCTCTTTTTCCACTTTCCCAAATTTTTTGAAAATAATGTTAATATATCTTTTTAATATATAAAATAAAGAATATAAATTAATTTAAAAAAAACAATAGACATGTATTTGTTTAAAAAATATTTCTTTGAAGATTGATATTCGATAGTAATAAATAAGAGAAAACATTTTAATTCTTTTTTAAAAAAATATTTCTACTGAAATATATAATTTAGTATAAAGATATTATAACAAAATAAAAAAATTAATAATCAGTGAACGCCTGAATAAAAATCTGTTTTCGATCTACTTTCAATCAACTTATAACTCATTATAACTCAACGTATACACGGAGAGAAGTTTCTTTTAAAATTTACTCTGAAAATCATGTTAATTGTAAGACAATATAGTATTTAGGTAAATTTTATTGTGCACTACAATAAACTTTACTGCGAAATCTTATTGTAGTGCACAGTAAAATGTGCCTAAATACTATATTGTCTCATAATTAACATGATTTGCAAGGTAAATTTAAAAAAAAATTCTCTCCGTGTACGAATACAGATTTCCGCTTCGATACAAATAACATCTGAATTTTTTGTTTGTGTTACAATTATAAATACGACGAATACGTCAAAAATATAAAATTAATATTCGGGATCTGCTTATGACGCTTATCGAATCATATTATATTCCAAACCAAGTTAAAACTAGTTCAGCTAAATCTTTCAGCGCAACTATAAATATGAGTCTTAATAAAAAAACCGTCGCCACATATGTCGGTTTCCGGAAAATAACGAAACAAAAGCCGTGCGCTGCGTATGACGGGTTGGAAAATTTATTTGACAACGTATTAATTAAAGTTTTTTGAATCGTTCAATTCAACGTCGAATCGACGAATTGTAGCGAAACATTTAATTGACGTAACGAGAAAACTTTTGAAAACGATGAATAAACGCAATCAAGATAAGGAAAGCGATATGGTAAGCGCGTAACGCTGGTTAAAAAATTGCAAGATATATCCAAATGTCAATTGAAAAAATGTATTGCCTATGAATTTATTTAAATGTCAGCCTGTATTAAAAATGAAATATCACGTGCCATCATTACTTTGCATTTTTATATGTAGAGTGAAGAAGATAAGAAGTTACAGGAAGAATTGCTGCAAGCGGTCGACGTATTAAACGTAAATAAATTTCGCCAGTTTCGTTGTATATTCAACTTAGAAAAAAAAAAGCGAACTTCTGAAGAATCAATCTAAAATTTACGATTCTTATTTTCGATAAGAAACTGCTATCTTTCTTACGATTAGAATGAATTGGACTGTTGCATGTAATTTTGCCACCAGGGGAAAGATGAATCAGCTATGTTGCTGTCGTTGAACCACATGAGGATGTTGATACGTACGTCCACGACTTCGATGACTTCCGTTCCGAAACCTCTCAAATACTTGAGAAATTTTTACCCGAGCTTGCGGAGCGCGTACGGGGGGCTCAAGCAGAAAGAGGCAAGGGTGCGTTTTGCAGAAATTCTGAGTGTACTCGCTCTCGCTGGAGCTACCCCGAGATCCAGGGACTGTCTGAATTTCTGCATCAAAGGGGCCGTGGATAATCCCGGGGAATGGGGCCACGAATACGTGCGGCAACTCGAGGCAGAGATCGTCGACGAATGGACGAATGCGCCGATCAGGGAGGAGCTCGAGATCAGGTGAGAGATATCACGTAAATATTATACGATTATCCAAATAAAACGTTTTACGATGACGTGACAATCTGCAGCGGGAATTTAGATAATGCTTCGATTTGCATATGTATTGCTAATGCTCAGCCTTAGATTTGAACCAAGATCAAAAGAGAACAATGTAAAGTAACGGCTCTAATTGTAGAACGCGTCTTACACCGTTGATTAAGAGTATCATCGCGTTCGACGTGAGACACAACGCGGAAATACAGGCGTGCGATCTGTGCCTGGAGATCGACGAGCTGAACTTCCTCGAGCAATGCCTGGATCCCACAAACTTTGCACGAGAGTGCCATTATTTAATTAGCTGCGCGACTTATAGGTAATGCAACTGGACAATATTACTATAATTGAAAGCGTACTCGTCTTATTTTTTTAAATAAAAACAAATCTAATATGTGGATTCTTTATAAAAATAAATTGTCTTTGTTGGAGCACAATTTGAAACATAAATCCATTTATAAATAAAATCTAATCTTTTAATTGCTTTGCAATTTAATGTCTACATAAAAATAATTCTATTTTTCAAATAAAATATGATTAAAATTGGTTACACTATTCAATAACCGGCGTATATTCCACTTCGCGTATTTGCATCACTGATTTACCTGTTAAATTACATGTATTCTTCAGCGAGGACACGGAGAGAAGACAAATATTAGAATTTGCCACGGAGCAATATCTGAAGTTTAACGAGTATACGAGGGCAATTTTGGTAGCGCTGCAACTTGCAAATTCGGAACTTGTTTTCAAGTGCTTTACCGCCTGCCCTGACTCTTTGACGAGGAATCAACTAGCCTTTATCCTCGCCCGTCTGCAAGTAACTCCTTGCATAATATCTGCATAGCATATTATTTGCATAGCATTTGACTATTTCATAACAGAGTGAGAAGCAAAACAACGCGTACAAGACGATGTTAAGAGCGGGGTTAAAAAAAATATCGTGTACCTCGGCAATCTTGTATACCTATAAAAATATGAATACTAAAATGTACGACTAATAATAAAAAAAACTGAACTTTCTTCTAAACATAAATTAATTAAAAAAAATTAAATAGCAGGCAATAATTACACAATCTTTCTATTTCTCCCTTTCAAACTATTAATAATAGTGAGCATTTTAATTGTCCTTCGCAAAAATTTAATACAAATCGTTCGAAATAGAAAAAGAGATAATTGTAAAATAAACTTTTTGTAATTTTGATTAAAAGAAATTTCACTAAATAAATTTGCATTAAAATATTAAAATATTAATCCCGTTTTCTGAATAGGATCAACCCCTCAGGACGGAGTATCATGGAGACGATGCTAAGGACATCGAGGCGATCCTTAGTAACGGCCATGTGAACAGCCACTTCCAAATTCTTGCCAGAGAGCTTGACATACTTGAGCCAAAGCTCCCAGAGGATATATACAAGAGCTGGTTGGTGAGCGGATTTAGGCAAATGGAGCACGATTCGGCTAGAGCGAATTTAGCGGCGAGTTTCGTTTCCGGTTTCATGCACGCGGGCTTCGGCCAAGACAAACTGATGGCGAATACGTCGGATTGTTGGGTGTACAAAAACAAGGTTTAACTATTCAATAATTTGCGAATATCTTAATTAATATACTAAAATTAACTTCCCAAAATTTTAATATTAAATAATTATTTAGTTTTATATTTTGTTATATTTGTAATATCAAATGTAATATAAAATTTGTGAGATATATATGATTATTTATCAATTTAAAAAAAGATTAAGAGATATTTGAATATTAAATACCATGTCTCCTGATTATATTTATATAATAAAAGTTACGTTTATATAAAAATATTACAAAGAAAATTTCTTTTTTAGGAACATGGAATGTTATCGGCTACTGCTTCGCTGGGCCTGATACATATGTGGGACGTCGACGGCGGATTAATTCCCATCGACAAGTTTGTATAAATTTCAATTAAGTAAAGAGACATATTAATCCTTAATGTCGCGAATTAATCTTAATTTTTTGAAATATATCTTTAGAAAAAGACATAATAAGGTAATAATAAGTAATTGATAGAATTAAAAAAAGAATTGTTATTTATTTTTTTAATCCTACTTACTGACTTTGCTCTCCGCGTAGATATCTTTATACAAACGAGGACTACGTGAAATCTGGTGCCTTGCTAGCGATCGGACTGGTGAATTGCGGAATTCGTAATGAATGCGATCCGGCTTTGGCGCTTCTCAGTGAATACGTGAAGTCAAATAGTCAGATCCTTCGCATCGGAGCCATTATGGGATTAGGTCTGGCTTACGCTGGTTCCAGAAGAAAAGATGTCACCGAACTTCTTTCTGGAGCTTTAGCCGATGAGCAAAGTAAATAATGTAATTATTATAGTCGATATATATAATTTTTTATTCGAATTATTTTCTTCCAAAAATAATAAAGTATAATTAATTTTTTTCAATAATAAAGAAAATTAGAAGCTAAAAAAAGTGAAGATAATCTTTGACGTTTTAAATTGTACGATTTCTCTCTTATAATTTATATATTTTTTTGTGTGGTTAAAATTTTTTAAAAAAGGGTAAAAATAATTAGTTGTCATACAGCTACGAATTTTTTCAGCTAATATGGAAGTGTTATCGTTGATCGCCATTTCTTTGGGCCTTGTAAATGTAGGCTCGGGGGACTCCGATGTATCCTCGGCTATCCTGTTGAAATTACTGGGATTATCTATGAAGGAACTCGTTATCACGCACTCTAAGTATAATTATATTATTATATTTATAACAATGTAAAAAAATAATTATACATATAGGAATCATTTTTCATTCAGATTTTTGGCGTTAGCCCTAGGAATGATTTATATGGGAACGCGAGACGCCATAGAAACCCCATCCGCAGCCCTCGAGGCTTTGCCGGAACCGTATAACTTTGCTTCGCAAACTATGCTACAGGTAAAATTAAATAAATATGATTTTCTCGAAAATAATCTCGTGAAAAAGTTCTTGTAAATGTAGCGAAGGTAGCTCTTAAATTTGTGTACTTTCTGAAAAACTATAAAATACAAACCTGATAAAAACGATTCTGTTAGATTTGCGCGTACGCGGGCACCGGCGACGTATTGATAGTGCAAGAACTATTAAGAATCTGCTCGGAAGCGATCGAGGAAGTAACGAGCGCGAAAACGACGCCCGATAATACTCCGATACCAAGCTGCTGCGACCAAAGAAGACCGCAGAGTTCTGCCAAGTTAGAAAAGAATAAAAAGAACGGCAGCCAATTCGAGGAGTCTGCTAAGTAAGCGTCTTACTAAAAGCAAAAAATATAAAATGTTAAATAAGACATTAATAAATAGCAATGCAAAATATAAATAAATAATTTTTAATAAATATAATTTGGAAAAAAAATTAATTTTTTGTTATGTTAATTTCTACATATTTAGTGCTAAATAACTATGATAATTATGATTAAGAAAATAATCAACGATGTAATTAATTTCAGAGATATTGGAACCCCGCAGGCTATAGCATCCCTTGGGGTAGGTGTAGTTGGGCTCGGAGAAGGAAAGGAAAATTCGAGGATCTTTGGTCAGGTGAGGAGATAAGTCGGCATGAGACCTCAATAAACTATACCGAATAGTTATGAGGACGCTCTCTATAGCTATCTCGGGCCGGAAGGAGACAGAGAAACATTTAAATTTCAATATATCTTAATTAACGTTTATGGGTTTCTATAACTCATTCATAATCACTGCGATTTAACGGACTATCTTTCTTTTCATGGCGTAGAGTGGAGGATCAGTTAGAAGTGTAATCGACTTTAATTAATATTTATTATGGGAACGGCTCTTGTGATAGTTGTGATCCCCTGGGTCCTCGCCACTCCTCGCTACGATTTACGACGCTTAACAAATGTAGGTCGGAAGATACGGACCAACGCCGGCGCGACGCGCTATGCCGCTCGCGTTGGCCCTATCATCTCTGTCGGACGCTGACCCAGCGGTCGTGGACGTGCTGAACAAGTACAGCCACGATCACGATGCCGACGTTGCTCTGAATGCGATCTTCGCCCTCGGCCTGGTGGGCGCGGGTACCAACAACGCGCGACTGGCGACGATGCTGAGACAGTTGGCAGCTTATTACGCGAAGAATCCGTCTCACTTGTTCCTCGTGCGCATCTCTCAGGGTTTGGTGCACCTGGGCAAGGTAAAGGTCTCGATAAAATCGGGCCGGTTACGGATTAAGCAGTTAGTTCAAACGGATGATAACGATATCAATAAAGCAACAATTGCTTTATTGATTTAGTTCACTTCTCTTTAATATAGAATGGAAATATATTAATCGTCGGAACAGTTTCGTCCTTATGCATTACATTCTTCCTTTCAGGGCACTTTATCTTTATCGCCTTTGCGGTATGCTTCGAAAGTTTTAGACTACACCGCCCTGGCTGGTCTGATGGTCGTCCTCGTTGCGTGTTTAGATTGCAGGAATCTCATACTATCTCAATCTCATTATTTAATGTACTACTTGGCGGTCGCGATGGAGCCAAGGTGGCTGGTCACTGTGGATGAAAATCTCAAGGTGCGCAAGGGGATTATTGAAAAAAATCAGCTGTAAGATCTTATAATCTGTTATAAGATCTTCAGTTGTATAAATGTATAAATATTCTTAGGGTTTAGAAACGATGTGTTCCCGATGCTTTGTAGAGCTTGCCGGTGTCGGTGAGGATCGGCCAAAGCGTGGACGTTGTGGGGAAAGCGGGTAATCCGAAATGCATTGTCGGCGGTCATGTACAAACCACACCAGTGTTGCTGTGCGCGGGCGAAAAGGCGGAATTAGTGTCGGACCAATACGAGCCGCTTTCCGGTGTGCTGGAGGGTTTCGTGATCCTTCGTGAGAAGGTAATTTCGTTAGTCTTGCACACCCTGCGGCGCTTCTCTGTCCGTGATTGAACGTGTGAACATTTTACAGCAGGCTGCAGCGAGTTAGGCAGCTCCGAGTTCGATATTCTGCGATGATTCCTTTGAATTGCCTTTCGATTTAGACGGATTACCTTTGCCAAGTCGGAGATCGACGCCAGCGAACACCAGCGAGCAAACGGAAAAGACCTTCCTCCGCGTATCTACATGAAACAGATCAGGAAATGGAAGTCTTGCGCGTACAGGCTTTGTTGCGGAATACAAACTGTTCGATTATAATTGACGGGAGAGTGGTGGTAACATCGTTAGCCTTTTTCGTATGTTTTGCATTTATTTAACTTTAGGGACTAGCGGAAGCAATGTGCTCTATACAACAGAAACATACATTGGTTCGCATTGCACAGTGGGAACAATAACGTTGCGCCATGATCAAGAATGCCGGCCGGTATACAAAATCAATAGAGCGTGACATTTACTTACTGATAAAGAACAAAATAAAAGGGGATTACACAAATGCATTTTATGCGAGTAAATATATATATATATATATATATATATATTATATATATATATATAAATGTTACAGTGTCGAGCGACGACACCAAGGTAACGAAATAATCACTTGTGTGTTAGCGATCATGGAGCACGTCGAATTTTCGTCGTGACGGAGCTGTTATTCAAGGCAACACGAAGATCCAAAGATGCTTGAAAAGCATCGTCGTTTCGAAAAGATTCAGGACGCGTTGCCTTGATAGGAATTGTAAGTCTTACGCAAAGCGTGTGTAGAACGCTTCGCGAGAGTGACGATTCCTCTCTCTCTCCCTCCGCATAAGATGTCCCACGACATTCGTTTGTTAGGCACATGACTTAAGGTAAGGGAACGGGGGGAGGGGAGGCGAAATGTGTGGATAATAAACGCAGCTGATTTGATAAAGACGTCGCACGCGCGTCGGTAGTAAAGTAGTTCGGTGGAGTTTGTTCGAAACAAAGCGTGTCAAATCGTATTGCACGCACGCGTATACGAATACGTAGTAGTAAACTCGTCTAGATATAATAATCGTACGGCGTAACAGTCGGACCTTCGATACGTCGTGCTTCTCATCTATATATGAAAATTTAACTTTATTCGCTTTATGCATAAATCGATTCTATATTCATTCAATGGACGCGTGTACGTCCAATATCAGCTTAACTGCTTTATCTATTATTTCAAAACTTTTTTTTAAATTCTGTGCAGGACCTAATTTAAGGGTGGAGGATGATCGTCGCGGTAAAACACAAAATTAAAGTATATTTTTACTTAGTGATAAAATTATCGGATTGTGTTTTGAGAGTAGCATAAAATAACTCTTGAAACGTAATGAGATATACGATAGAAGTGATTTATGCGTTTCGCATAAAATACATCTCTTTCTTGAGTTCGAATGTTATAAATTTCACAAGTTTTTCCTTTTGGAAATACACTAAGTAAACTGTATCTTCTAAAAAATTGTAACATTCGCTAAAAGATGAATACAAATGTATACAAGATTTGAAAAATGTCAAAATTTGTCTTACGCTACTTTCAAAATATTGTAAAAATTGCTACGAATTGGATATGACAATAAATCCGAAATACGATTAAAATGCGGTGAAACATACTTTCTATGTTATTGCTAGATCCGCCACAGCTATAAATTTGGTCCTGATTCTCTTAATCATACTCTAATGTAGAGCGATCGAGTAATTATAGAAGTCTATCGCAATCCGCACCGCAGAGCGTTTCTTTAATTAATACATCAAGGATAATTAAAAGGATAAAGACAAATTGATATCTTTTCACACAAGGACATTCGTATTTGCGCGCAAGCTACTTTATAAAATGATCCTTGACGCTGAGTAAGTTAAAAAGTGACAAATCACACGCAAATTGTCCGATTAATCAATGCAATCGCACTATTCAGCAAGCTGGGCTCACCTACTTTTAACTCTTCATGTTGCACATAGTAAAATAATATTAATAATATTAATAGTAGTTAAAAATTAATAATAATGATAAATCCTACATAGTAGCGTTTTTTTTCCTTGCGTCATAATCTTCCACAAAGTTAATATGTATGTATGCAATTTTTTTTAGCAAATACGCGGTTATGTACTTCGAAAACCTCCTAGCTGCTTCTCCACGCCGCTTTCTCGACTTCTCGATTAACTTCTTATTTACAATAGCATATTGTATTAAGAGTTTAAATCGCAACTTCTATTTGATTATCTTCTCCCCTATACGTTAATATCAGCCGTCATTGCGTATTCGTCGCCGTGTACGAGTGAAAAAACAAGTCGCGACAAGGAGCTCCGTGTGAACGGAGCTCGAAAACGACTACGTCGCTAAAAACAGATCGGGTCATAGATAAAAGCTGCCTGTGGTTTCGTTGCTGCGAGAAAAAAATTGACGACAAGTGGCAGTGCTTCCGCATCATTATACATTGTGTGTTTGTGCGCGTATGTGTCCGCGTATCTCGCGTGCACCTCCTCCGGTCTGGAGGACTTTTTTACTTTTTTTTTTTTTGCGAGCGCATCAATCGGCAGAACGGTTGTCGCAATGGCTGTCGAACACATTTTTTTCCCCGCGATGCATCTACCCACGCAGTAGGAATGTACGGTCCGTACCGCAGTAACGCAATCGCGACACGATGCGATGTGTGTAGGTAAGCAAAATATGTGGCGTGACTTAAAAGAGACGGGCACGTCTTTTGATTTCATTGCGACGCCACTGCGGCAGTCTGTAGAATTCCGCTCGGGAGCACTGTAGAACAGCTTCGAATTCTGCGTCGGAGAGGTGTCGCTGAAAAAAAAGGAGTACGAGTTATTTTTACGTTATTGTCAATCATATCACGATTATTGCACTAATTTACTTCAATAAATAACGTGACTAGGAGAGACAACGAAGAATATTATTATTTCTAAGAAAGTATTACATGTGTGACAGCACTGTATAATTTCGCAATTACTTATACAAACAAAGCAATTAAAGTGATAATTCACGCTCGTAGTTAAAACTCACCTCGAGATTGCAGCGATCCACGTCAGCTGGTAGCCTGTAGTTAGTGATAACAAGTAAATGGTAGGGATAAAGTTTGGGCGGTTCGGTTGGTGCAGCACCCATGTCCGGCAGCGATCTCCTTACGTGATGACCCCCGTGGCCCCCGACAACCGAACCTAGGCCACCCGTATACGTGGTGGACGATGGTATGATTCCACCATCATTCTGCGCCACAATACACATAAAATCATGAGTCACCAATGGAAACAACTGCGAATGGCACGGCAACGACATGATGCGAAAAAAATATAAGGGGTTGCATTCTTCGAATCTTCAGGAAAGCAAAATTTGAACGAGCAAGAACTCGTCAGATAATATTTTTATATAGAGTTCGTATCTTATATCAAATATAAATTTAATAACAAACTCATAAAACAAAATCTTTTAAAATGTATGACTTTTAAATTAAAAATTTGCGCTGTCATGCATCCCCTAAAAATATTCTTGTCCATGCCGTAAATAGTATAAACACATTCTATACACACTACAAAACTTTCGCTAATAACATAATTAATAAATATAATAATATATAATTAACAAATTTCTCTTATATATACACGTACGAATTCGTATGACTCAATAGACTGTGTTTGATGTAATAATATCAATTAATTAATTTCTAATTAAATTAGTATATCGATTAATGTTTCAAACATTTTCGTTTTTTCAATATTGAAATACACTAATTTAATCAAACTAAATTGAAGCGATCATCCTACGTGCGAACACTTTCATTTCTTTTCAAAATTTACGCAATATATATACAATTTTTTTATTTCTATAAAAATGCTACAGCTGTGACCTTTCAAGTGCGAATAATGTATATACCATACATGCATTCTTGTAATTGGAAGTTCTGTATGAAAAAAATATATACAAATACATTTTAATACGTGAAATATTTAAATAACATTGAATTGCTGATGTGTGACGATATCAATTTCCTATATATGTTATCTTCAAAAATTTTAAATAAATCATTCAAAGTTATATAAAAAATGTTCAATTATTTTTGTTTCACAGAATTAAAATTTTTCGTAAAATAATTTTTCGTAAATAAATTATAAATTATGAAATCGCAAAAAGATAAAATAACACATTTCGATCATAAAGCTAAATAATGCATAAAAGTAGCTTGATTAATTAACTTACTTAACTTAATTAAAAGATGAAAAAATTCTTATTCGATCAAAATCAATATGCAACATAGAGCAAATTAAAAGTACAGATGATAAAAAATGCAGAACTCAAAATAATAGCAAAATGTACAGCATGCATGCATACTCATTATACAGCATTATATACACAATATCTTACATCGTAAATAAGGACAAGTAGCAAATCAAGTATAATCATACAAGTAAATACAAATAAGTAAACAATATGCATATACACATCGTAAATTTTTCAAACGTACGAACTGTCTTGTTTCTCTAGATGAATGTGTGCATTTAATGCAACACATCTGCAATTATAGAGACGTGCTAGAATGTTAAATAAAATTACATTTGCATAAACTCCATTCATTAGAATAATCAAATTAGATACCATAATGCATAATTAAAAAAAAAATATATATATATTTGAATCTTCCTGCCTGTTAAAATTTAAGAAATTATTCAACAAATCAAAATTTGCTTGATAATTAATTATTCTTTAATTAAAATTAACAATTTTCATATTTTAAAAAAAAGTTGTTATAATCCACATTATAATAATTTTAAATTTAATACAGAAAGAGATGTATTTAAATGCGATACAATCAAAATCGTTCTAATAAATGGAGCTTTATTGTGAAACAGATGCAAAAACAAGCTACAAACCATGCTAATTCGCCGGGAGTAGTATGGGGCTGTGGTACATACCAATGCCCGTCGATCCACATCCGTGATGCTGCCTGTTGATACTAAAATTGGGGAAAAATTTGAAAAGAAAACCATATCAAACCATGTTGCACAAACCATTTCCTATGCTAACTACAATCTGTTTTTCATCAATCGTGTTTCCTTTTCATTACCTATACATTTCACGATTTATGCGTGAAATAAACAGAGCAACGCAATCATTACTATTTAATTATAAACGGACGAGGTAATTCTGGAGACACGATTGTTTTGTAATTCAATAAGTCTACCGCGAAATTTCCAGATTTATGGAAGGGTTGTCTAAAGTCTGTAAAAATGAATCGACTAAGATATTAATAATTGCGTTATGTACATAAAATGTTTTATCATTTAAGGAGTCGAAGGATGATATTACAATTATAATTTCTAGGCAAACATAAAACATACTAATAAGTATCGGCATCTCCATTTCTTTCTTTGACATTTCCTGGTTCAATATAATTTAATTCTCATCACTCTTAATTTATGATTATTCATCTGAAAGAAAATTCTGAGACACACCGTAGATGATTATTAATCTCATAAATCATAATAATCAAACAAAGTGTCACTATCACAGGTTTTTTTTTAAAATAGACAATGTTATATGACGATGTACAACAGGCCAATGTACGACGTACAATGTTTCACAGTGACAGTGCGATAGCTCGCAGGGATGTTAATAAAGCATGCGAGAACAAGGCAAAAAACGAAGTGTATAAAGAAGATGATTGAAGTGGCAGTGACGCGCTCGCAAAAATCGCCAGCAGTTCCATCACGAACTGTGCACAACAAGTCAATGCATGTAAATACTTGAAACGTCTCGGGAACCATGTCTCCTTCCCAAAACAGAAATTCTTGCAAAAGCTTCGGTATAAAAATGATCAAAACAGTCAATCTCTGAGACAATTGATAATTACATAGCTTTGATTTCAATTACTTTTAAACAAATTTCATACCAGAATATTAATTTTAAATTAGAAATCAAGAAATTTAACATAAAAAAAAACAAAGAAACGCCAAATAAAATTTCTATTAACAAGATCCTAACTCCAGATAAAAACTACAAAGTAATTTTGTTCTGCCAGACGTGACAAAAACGTCTTAAAACAGCGCTGTTAGTGTAATCTCAGTCTTCTTCGAAGCCCAATAGAACCCCTCGCTCGATTCACGATAGCACTGCATCCGTCTAATTTGCGAGCGCGTCAAGCTCGGGAAGCGTGAATGTAAACAGGTGAGAGGGTGTGTGCAGCGGGGACCGGCGTCGCGGTCGGCCCCTCTCGTTTTACTCACTGTCCGACTTGCCAGACGAGAAATCAGTGCTGTGCGTCTTGTCGCCCATCCCGCTGAACGAATAGTCGCCCTAGACGACAGAAAAGCGTTATCTTAGAGATGGCGTGTTCCGCTCGGCCGCCGCGCGGAGAGTCGACTCTATATGTATACTCTCGTTTAAATACGTTTATTTATTGCACTATCAGCGCGGTGCACGTCGCATCGCCGACTGTGACTTGCGGTGCAAGACTTACAGGGAGAGCAGACACGGAACCGCCGGTCGAGGAGAAGGTGTGACTTCGCGGTGCCAGACCGTACCCCGGCTTCGGGATGTGCCGAAGGGAGCTCACAACTGGTTTGCAAATCAGTCAATCGACAGGTGTTACTGATTAGTTCTCAGCGGTGATTTCAATTCGTTCTCTCAATCTCCCATACGAATGCCCAACGTTCGCTTGCCAGATTAATTTTTTTTTTTTGTAATCCGTAAAACTCTACCCGGAGCCATGCCGCTCCCTCATGTGTCCCAACCCAAGATCAACCACTGTCAAGGGATTTCCCCCTATATTCTTGGCGCCTTAACAATGATATACTTGGTACTTTGCATTTTGCGATGTTTCTCACGGATTCGAATAGATTTAAAGAGACAGACATCCATTGATATACATGCGATATAATTTTAAATTAGGGATAGTTCAATTTTTCTCCTGTTATATAGTATTTTACATACATAATTATTTCTTATGTAATTAATAATTAAAATAAAGAATTATCTTTAATTTTATCGCGTGTAACAAAGGATATCTGCGATGATAATAATTTCAAATATATTATCGCACCCCCATCGGCAAACGGCGCTTAAAGATATCCAATAGTCTCGCGAGTGCACAAAGCGAGTTCACTCTCATTAAGTAGAGGCAATTCGCGGTTAAAAAAAAAAAGATACATAAAAAGCCAGCACCTGCGTGTAAGTACAATAGATTCTTCTCGTAAGCGCGCCCGCCGTGATGACAAGTCAAAAGTTTTCCTTTCTTACTGAAAAACGCAGACAGAAATATAAACGGTTCACCAAAAACAAAAATTGTAATATATTTACATTTTATGTTATCGCATATTTTACAATAAATGGGATGCATTTGAAATCATAGACGCAAATAAAACATAAAATCAGACAAACTACTTTTGTATTATCAAACATTTAAGGTGATCGTTGTTCCAATATATCGAGATAGCAAAAATTGTAAATTCTTATGTTTTCATCGGCAAATATACATTTTACATGCCTAATTTACACGTGCACAATTTACAGTCTTTAAACGCGTAAAAATAATTAAACGCGTATAATAAGGTGATAAAACACTGAAACTTTCCAAGAAAGGAAAAAAGCTGAACTTATAAGTCGACAAGCTTGAAAACAGAACTTAGAAATGGACTTGGTTTGACTTGGGACCAACGGCGGGCGAATTGGAAAGTTTTCGGACTCACCGAGTGATAGTGCCTACTGGCGTTTGGAAGAGTGAAGGCGCGCTGAGTACCAAGGGGTGGATAGTTTCTGGGAGCCGGGGAGCGCGCCGATGACCTCCCAACTGCCGCCCACGCAAACACAACACAAACACAAAAACACAAATAGAGACACAATGATAGTAGACGACAGGTAGTAGCATCGTGTGACTAACGTAGATTGCCGTGTCCTATTAAATCTAGAGCGCTAACTTGGAATTATCAGTGATTTATATATAAATGCTTCATAATTTTTATAAACAAAAATACAATCAGAAAGACTTTTTAAAACAAAATGTAGTAATTACGTTTCTGTTGAAACGTAATTACTACAAGCTGCAACAACAATTAAATTAAATCCTCTTATTACAGTAATTCGAAACAGCAATCTTTGATCGCCTTTTTTGATATTGTAATACTTTGTTTTCTAATTATTCAGTCTTTTAGTATTGCATAAAATTGTGTTATTTGACAAATTATAATTCCATATTAGCGTTCTAACATTAATTGATTATCCAACATTGGAAGATACCGTGAAGCAAAATTCTGTATATTTGTCAGAAAGCAAAGATGTGCAGTGCAGAAAAAAGAAATACTTATCATGCGTAATAAATCAAAATGTATTGCCAAATTATCTTCCAATATTGTAAATAAGATTTAAAAAATATCTAAGAACTAATTCTTTTTAAAAAAGCATTTTAACATAACAAAAATTAACAATTCAGTTTCCAATTATATTATCAAAATCAAATTAGATAGTAGATTTTGAGCTATATTTGTTGCGCTTAATAAGCGGCATAAAAAGCAATATTTGAAATAATAAAATATAATTCTTCTAATTGCAAAGAAATATTGCAAATATAAATAAGATAAAAAATTAGAAACGATTATCTATAATAAATGTCCATACATCGTAATAATTTTTTTATTGAAAACGATTGACTTTGCTTAAATTTAGATAGAGTGATTACGACAGCGATTCAAATCTTACTGAAGCGTACAGAAAAGAGATGAAAAAATGACGATAAACTGACATTTCAGTCAATTTAAAGTTCAGTTTAACTTCTAAAGGTACGGTCGTGCCGCGGAAATGAGAGTGATGTGCATTGGAGCAATATGTGTCCGTGTATAATATAAATTTCGTGGTCCCAAGTACCATGCAAGATACAGAAACAGGATCAATTTACCTCGAGAAAACGATTTCCAGGGCTAAGGATTGCAATGGCGATTTAATTGCCCGTTATTTCGAGGTATCGATTGATGCGTCGTTCGTAGTTCGATGGAAAAAAAGTGATAAGGCAAGCACATCGAGGTGAGGGAACGACAACATGCATAGGCAGAATACATCACCTGTTGTATTAATTGGACGTCCAGTGTATGGTTTTTTTTTGGTGCTACGCACGCCACTTAAAATAAAGTCCTGCTCTCGAAACGTTACTGTTATCATCGTTTGTTAATTAGCATGAAATCCTCCCACGTCATAATTTGCATTGGCCGATTCGGTCGTTTGCTCCACAGAGCAAACGTTCCATATTTTTTTCTTTATCGATAAAATGGGACCATTTACGATCGCCCGCCCTGGGAAACCCCGCTAACTATCGAGACTCACAGTGTTCTCTAATCAATGTTACTTTAAACGGTAGAGTGGTAATGTTAGTGTCATGTGCGAACGTGTGGACATGTATGAGATGATCGTTACTTATGTTAATGAAACAATTACGAGTGGCGTGGCGGACGATAACTTACCGTTGTAGCTAGGCCCGCTGGATCTGTAGCTGAAGCCATCGTCGTCCTCCCAAGGCCGTGCGTGATCGATATTTCGCGAAGGCGCTGTACAAAATGTGTAATTTCGAATTATCTTCTACATAAATATTAACTCTACGACACTCTTAGTGCACTCTAACTATATAGATTTTCAAGTCTAAGAACAATATGTCCTTAAGATATTGAATAAATTCAATTAAGTAAGCTAAATAATTGAAGAGTCTTAATGTCAAAATACTGAAAGTATAAAATTGTCTAATTTTAAAACAACTTACATGCACCGACGGGACTCTCGTAGCGCAATCGATACGTTGGCTCCCTGGCGGCAGACGGTGTCCTCGAGGCATTTCTAGGATCAACGTTCGCGGCTCTGTGTCTCAAATTCTCCCGATCCTTTTCGCGATCTTGCAGGAATACCTTAGCTATTCCCGTGTCAATCTTACTCAATTCGTCCTGCTCCTTCTTCAGTTTCTGCTCCGCCTCCTTGATGTATGTTTTGTTATCCACGTCATCCTCGTCATCAGATGCAGGTACTCCCTGAATCAAAAGCAGGCATCGGAACGTTAATTAATCAGCAGCGTTAAAAGATTAGTGACAAAAAGTGACATATTATTTTGATGATTAAAGATAATACCTTGTAAGTGTCGGACCATCGTCTACGTCTCTCAGGATCAGTGTAAGGATACGGCGGAGCGGGGAAATCGTCTCTCTCGATTGGCGGTTGGGCCCCCGGGGGTGGTTTCATGGCGTCCGGATAATGCGCTAATTCTATCGGCTCGTCATTATCCACCTGGCTTGCCGGCGATTTCGGTCTGGTGTCGCTCAACGCGTCGACCAAAGCTCTCATCCCTGATCTGCTGCTGCGTCCACCGCTGCTTCTTATCGAACGAGATGCTGTGCAACGAAACAAACGCGTTCTCATGCGGACTAACTGACAAATTTAACTCTGGAGAACATATATAAATCGATAAATCAGATAAACGATACAGAATTAAAATGAAAGATATTTTTTAATATTTCAAAAAAAATCTTATATTTTATAAGCTCAATTTAGAAATTAAATAGAAGTTCAGTTCGTAAGGCTCAAGATATTAAAGAAATAACTACACTTGACTGTAATATAGTTGTGCATAGTTGTTTAATTCTATTAATATTTAATTAAAAGCCTGTTAATATCTAATAATTAAATTAAGTATACATAGAGAAAACTTACAGCTAGGTCTATGAAAATGCGGGCTAGTAGGGGGTTTATCGTACGGCTGTATCGGACGTCTCAGATATCCTTGACTGGGCGTTTCAGTCAAGTACGAGTAAGTATAAATCCTAGATACATCTTCCGATGGTCGTCCATATTCTCGCAGGATCAGGCCGGGGCTTCCAGTTCGCGCGGGATAATACTGAGGGAATCAATGTATCTTATCACGAATGTGATACAACTTGCGTTTTATATATATCTGAATGTTACTATCAATTATACAAAGTGTGTTAAAGAAATTGGGCAAACAAAGTCTTAGGATAATTTGATTTCGTATTCATTCCTTTTAAAAGGAATTAACAATTATTGTTCGTATCTATATCTTATGTTTGTATTCGAATTAACGCACTTTGTATAGAAGAAAAAGATCGTGCGAGGCGGGCAACGCTCTGTCAAGAAATTTATATTAACTACAAATTTGAAAATTTAAAAAAAATTTTTAAATATATTAATTTTCTTTCTTCATTCATATTATATTTGTGATCTAGAAAACAACAAATAATCGCTAACTAAAATAATCGAAGACGCAGTTAGATTTTCGATAGAAATCATCTTGTTTTACTAGTAAAAATGACTATATAACTCTAGCCAGGATATATAAACCCCGAACATTGTCTCTAGTTTTACTTTTTTATTTGGATGGATCAATAAAATTGAAATAGAACCGCAAGTGTCTGTCAGAGCGAAAGCACGCGTCGCCGAGAAGAGGTAACGCGAGAAGTGATACCAGAAATACTTGTTGAGAGAGTGCTGTGCTAAAGTGAACACATGGCATACCTTGCGACTGAGGCTGCTGTAAGGGCTGCACAGCGATCCGTTCAGGCTTGGCGTGCGTGACCGCAATGAAAACTATACATAATGACCGTGCGGAAAAAGTAAACAACGATTAAGAAAAGCGATAATAAAAAAAACTTAATCAAAATCAAGTATGATAATATAATCTTTGACGTTTTCTACATCGAGGCGTGCGTGAGACGAAAGAAACGGTAAAAAGTGACAAGCCAGCTGATCCTCCGAGGCAAAAATCAAGCTATACACAAAGCTAATGAAATAACTAATGTCTCTTGGATTCGAGGTGTTCTGCTCTATATTGCCGCTATACAGAATACTATACTAACATATAACATACAAGAATATACATCGAATGACAAAGTGTTCCGTGGAAAAGTTTGCAAGATTTTAAAGACATGAAGTGACGTTTTTAATACAGAGAGTACCCTATCGTACATTACATCTCACGATAATAAAAATCATAAACCTTCAAGGAAAACGTTTAACATATGCGAAACACTTCGCTTTTCTCATGATGTAATTGGTAAATTCAATTATGCAGACGAATACAACTCAATATACAATGCAGCTAATAATAAGTCGAATAATGCAAGTGCTAGACATAAACAGCAGCATGCACTTCTTTTATTTTCTAACATAACATGGAAATCATAATTTCTAATAATACTGACATCAAAACAACATTATTGCATCTAACTATTGAATCATACGATGTTGGACTCTTGACTCCCTCATTTAAAAATTAATATAAAATTAGTGATTTTTCTCGAAACTTTTTTCAAGTAGATGTTAAATGAAAAACTTAAGAGCAGTTACGTTTGAAAAATACTAGTCTATATCCTCTGGATCAGGAAAGAATCAAAATTAGACACGATGTATTATTTTAGAACCTCCGGAACGCGATGCTATTTCCATTCACCGTTTGAGATATGTGAGTGTCGCTTCAACGACAGATCATAGAATGTATTTGTGTCGTTGAATTTACTAAAGCATGTTCCTATTATATATCATCTGTTTAAAATAGTTTTATTTAAATTATAATTCCTACTGCTTTTTCAAACGCAGTGTTCTCAGTGATTTATGTAAAATATATCTTTTAAAAAAATGCACTTACTTTAGACACGGCCCCTATACAGGCAACGTTATACACGCGTATTAAAATGACCTACTTAAGTCACAAATAATATTGCATTACTTTAAATTATGCTCTGCATTAGTTCATAAAATAAAAGGCTGAAGGCTCATTGTTAAGACATATCGTTAATATTTAATATGAATCACAATAATTGCTATAAAGTTGTATAAAATACAAACGTGTATATATACAGCTTTATTCACAATAAGCAAGTCAAGCGTAACGAAAATATAACGCGAAATAAAGTAAAATGCTATCTTTTTTTACACATGTTAATTCGACAATCAACGGTCGTATACGATAATATCCAAACGATTAAACGTATTAAGATGCTACAATCGCTTCGTTAGAATTTTCGTAATTAAATTAAGGAACTAGTAAACAAGCTTCTGCACTAGCTTAAATCAGTTATAATACACGAATGTACAGAGTAAACACGTCTAGACAGCGAATTTACCGATCGCGCGACGCAATCGGGCTTACCTGCATCTCCGATGCGCTGCTGGAAATTCGCTCCGATTCCCGATGCTGCGGAGTGTGAGTGTCATGTCCGTTGACGATACCATTGGGTCCGGTAGGTCCTGGCCCACAGCGTGGGTGCCATATAGCGGCACCCTGCAGGTACATTTCCTCCCCGTCGCCGAACGGGTCGCCGCATTTCGTGCAGCGCGCGCAGGTCGGATGGAAGTGATGGTTGTCACCGGCCTGCAAGACCTTGCCGCTGATGTAACGGTTGCAATAGGCGCACTTTACTCCAAACTGCTTCTGGTAATCCTTCTCGCAGTAAGGCACGCCATCTCTGTTAAAAAAGAAAACAAATTTAATAGCTGCGCCTCGAATGTCATTTAAATCTCGTACCTTCTTTATTCATTTCTACGCTGGCTTTGAAGAAAGATATTTTGAAGTTAAAATAAATAAATTTAAAAAACAGACTTATTAATGTCTTAGAAAATACATATTTCTTTTTCTAGAAGCTTCATTTTTTTAATTTTTTCAATTCTATAACTATCTAATTCCAATCCCAAACTCATAAAGAAGCTCATATCATACTTGTCTAGTAGTAATACCCCAAATTAAACGGATCGAATTCACTTTCGTTTTCTTAACAACTTTTTTGACGAGAGACTAAATGTGAAATCCAGCGTAATTTATTCATACAACATTCAATTGGTCTTAATTTTTTGAAAATGGGTAACATGCATCGTTATAATACACGATAAAGTGCATGTCATGCCAGATTTTTACCTTTAATCGAATAATTAATGTACAATGATATCAATAAGATAAATTTGTGGATCATCATAACGCAAGACTCACTTTCCCATGTATTCCCCGTGAAGCACGGTGTCGCAGCTATGACACTTGAAGCACCAGACGTGCCATTGACGATCGAGGGCGACCAATGCCTGACCTTCCCTCAATTGGTTTCCACAACCGGCGCAGGCACCAGGATCGGCGTGTCCGCCGCCTTTGGTGCCGGCGCTATTGCCGAGCGGCGTGGAGGCCTCGCGTACCGGGATACCGACGCATCGGTGACACAGCGCTTGACCTGCGACCAATGCATAAGTTAGTGGAGATTAATGAAATCTGGCGACTGGATCTCGAGACGTTACCATTAACCTTTGCGCTGCGCGCCAATTGTGTCCCCCTTCTATAATGAAATTGTCATTCAATTTCATTTATTCATTGCAACCCTTTCACTTGAAAGAAACTGATTCAAGATCGCTCAGTTCTATATTATGTTGACCGCATTGCAATATACATTCCATAAATTGTTGCTTCAGTAACAGCAATAATTGAGAAATCGATATAATGCTTCGGAAAATGTACAGAATGTGTTTGAATTGATAAGAGCTTGTAAAAATAAAACTTTCTTCAATAAATTATTTCAACTGACATTCCCCCAAATTAAACGGATCGAATTCACTTTCATTTTCTTGACAACTTTCTTGACGAGGGACTAAATGTGAAATCCAGCGTAATTTATTCATAACGTTCAATCGGCCTTAATTTCTTGGAAATGGGTGACATGCACCGTTATAACGCACGATAAAGTGATGCATGTCAGGCCGGATTTTTACCTTTGGCCGCGTAATTGTTACAAGGACGTACATAGTAGACGCGCGCGGCCTTGTAACGGTAAAATAACGATATGGCCAAGTGGCAATTTGCTTCAACAGATTGACTGTAACGCTAATTGTGAAAGCTGCACCAAAGAGATCATCGGCGATAACACGGTATACGCAGCGCGATCCCACAATTGGCCAGAAATTGTTGACCACTCGAATTAGCGAGTCTTCTACGGCATTCGGCGTTCTCGTCTCGTGCAGCAAGAAACGCTGCGTTATATGTCAACAAGCGGTACGCGCGCTAAACGAAGATCGGATCAATTTAACCTTCGAGAAGTCGAGCGGAGTATAATTGTTTAATCACGTACCTTGAACAAGGGACACTTTTGTTCCCTGTCCCAGCAACGGTTGCCGGCATCTTTGGCAATGGAAACAATTTGGGTGGAATGCGTGCTTCTCGCCGGCTGTTACCACGTCACCCTCCACGTACTCCCCGCAACCGGCGCATCGTGTACCCCAGCGCTCCCGGTAATCCTGATGAGGCAGAACGACAAACGCGAATTGAATTTGCGCATCTATCTCTCTCTTCCCGACGAGAGATTTTCCGAAAGATTTTCTATTACATTGAAAAAAATATCCAAGAAATGTCGAGTAAGCGCGACATTTCCTGCGACTCACCTTGGTGCAGTAGTAGGAACCCTCGCGTGCGAAGAAGCCACCCTGCGCCAAACTGGCGTTGCACTGGGCGCACTTGAAGCACCCTATGTGAAAGTATTTGTCCTGCACCCGCAGCACCTCCCCACTGCACTTCTTCTTACAAGATTGACAAAATGTTTTACCTGAAACGAAAAAAAGCAATCATTTTAGAGGTGCTATACTTCGCGGATCATTAGCTTTCCATTCCAATCTCGTAAGTTAGTATCCGCAGACAATAACTCGAGAAATAGACGTGAAAAATATTGTAATTAATTGGCGAGCATTCGCGCGCAACAAAATCTCTACTGCTTTACAGCAAAATAATAGCCTATATAGGAAAATAGTAGCGAATGTTTAAAGGTTTTTTTTCTGTAATATTTATGAATCTTTAATTAGGGATAATTACATTACTTGCTCTTGATGTTTTATCGAAATGACTAGGTAAAGAATTCAGATTTTTAGGAGAATTATTTATTGCGGAATATACATTTTCAGAGACTGAGACGACCAAACAACTCTTATAATTGACGACTAAAGAACATTTAATATTACTGATATCTTTATTCTATGGCTGCGTTCGAGAAGCGCCCTATCAGCTCTATTTTGTCATATTATTTTTATCGTTAATTAGACGTAAAAGGAGAACAACATGATGCAATAGCGCTAATAGCATCCAAACGCATACTATGTTATTATAAAGTGACGGGAAGTTGAAGAAATTAACTGGCTATTATTTAAAGCATTATCAAAATTTTTTCATTTGTAAAAAATAGATTAATTTAATATAAAATTTTGTGAATAATGTAAATAATAAAAAAATAATATAAAATGTGATATTCACAACACAGTCTTACTTATTCACATTACAGAAATTTTATCATTATATGGACGTAATAAAAATTTTATCATACACGATAAGACAAAGACGAACTTCGCCGGGTAGGCAACGTTAAATAATAAAACATGTTAAATAATAAAATTGTTAACGGCGTGAACTTTTCCCACAAGTGTACACGAGGGACGCAAGCTAAAAATAACGGGAAGAAGAGACCGTATGAGTCACGCACCTGCTCGTCCGTGCGTGCCGATCATTCGAGATTTCTTTGAGTGCGTTTACGCCAACAATGGCGACTCGCATCTCCCACTCGCGTGGCCGTCGGCTCTCCTCGGAGAGTACGTTAACTTTCAGCGATTACATAACGCACCTGTCGTCGACTGAAAGGGTGCATTACAATGCTCGCCTTCAGGAAGAGGATCAGACCGCGCGTTCTAATAGCGTTCTCTCCATTGAAACGATTTGGATTAGGTCCAGAATAATCAAGTCTCAACGAACCGATGTCCGGAGATAGCTTCGATCGCGAAGCTAAATGGCAGATTAAAGACAGTTTATTTATCTCCGGCTGCGCGGGATAACTGTTAATGGTATAGACTCCTGAGATTACTTTGAGATGAAAATTCTAATCTATACCAAAATGCCGAGACTATAAGTTCTTGAACGAGAAGCGTTTAAATTGTCCGATCAAATTGTCATTTATTAATTGTTATTTAATATCTATCCTAATTTATATATATCATATATTCGTTATATTTAATTTATATATCCTATATTCATTTATATTAATATATATTTTTTATTTTTATATATATTTTAAAAAGTTTCTAAAAATCGAATTTGGAACCTTAAATATGCGTCGTCTTCGTGATATACTTCTTAAACTCTGAATGGTCGTTAGATCTTGGCAAAAAAAGTTTCTCGCATTTTTCTCTCTTTTTCACAGCCATCAACTATAAAGCGATTCTTTTTACACTTGCACATGCACGCGTTTGTCATTACCCGTGAATTACGTTTGTAACATATTATGCCCGATTTGTACGCGTCGCGAATTAATATCGCGATCGATCGAAACGAGCACGTCGTCGTCCGAAACACGAGCGCGATGTGTTTCGACACGAATATGTATGTACGTACGAACAATGCGGATGCATTATTCATCAGCCGTCTGATTTCGGATTAGAACTTAATCCGGCACTTCGACGATCGCACTTCGTCCGGCATTTAACACCACGTCTTTTTCATTAAATTATCGTTACACTACTCTTCGTCGCTTCAATGCGCGAATAACGACCGCCTCGGTCCCGAGTGCGAGCGGCATAACTTATTCCATCAAGCGACGCGAATTGCGCAATTCTTGCTACACGAATTGTTACGTGCATGGCGAATTGAACGCTTCCGTCAACCCGTGTGTATGTATACCTCGCGAAGGTTCGTATGTCACAAGAGTAATTAAATAGAAGAGGGAAGGGAAAAAAAAAACGACCGCGAGCTTTCAACGAGCGGATGAATGAAAACTCGTGCTGAAACAAGTGCTTACCCAGTTCGACCGTTCGGATCGATGATTCAACTAGAGAGAAGGCGCGATGAATACGGCGCCTTTATTGAGTTATCGGTTGTTTTGAACGCGTTCCACGATAAATTACGGCGTATCTGTATGTAGTGCCGTTACGCGCGTGGCCGGATCGTATATGAAATGTCAGAGGGATTACGGGGGAGGAAGGAAAGAGGGTGTGTTCTCTCATGGTACAATCAATATTTAGAGAGGCAGAACTAATAATCTACCTTCATTTGCGCTCGCTGCACTGACCACCCAGCTGTTCCGCCCGAAGATCGTGCTCGTTTCGACCTAACGATGTGTGCATGTAGAAGAAAAAAAGTACGCGAGAAGCTACGGACACGTTTTGCATTTCTATTCGGTCCCGTTGGCGCGAAACGGAATTTTTCATTCTGTGAATGTAGAGAGTGCGACGAGCTAATTACCTGTCAGCCGCGAATTCCGCGGCGGATGCCGACACGATCGATTTTTATCTGCGGAGAAGGTGGGGAGGGGGGACAACTATTTCCGGGGTAATTAATAAAAAAAAAATTAAAACACTGGGAGTTAAGCTTGGAATTAAGTCTCCTGTGCCTGCGTGAAACATTGTTTTCAGATAATATCGGTTAGAAGTTTTAATAGAAAGTAAAAATTTAATTTGCTAAATAATTACGATTAATAATTAAAAAAAAATAATTCTCCGAATTTTAAAAAATTGGAATGCTTTTACTACATTTAAACTTTCCTCACGTTTGTTTTGTAAACCCCAAATGTTACATATCCAGAACATAAATCATGCGAGAAACTGTGCTCTCTCGACCAAACAATTTTACTCCGTGCGAATTCCGCACGAATTCAATGAAACGAAAGCAAATGCCCGCGGCGGCGTTATATAAACCGGCGGCTGAAAAAGATGAAAACGTGCATGAAATCACAAAGCCGGGAGGTAAAGGCCGGATCTCGCGTGTCTTTAAAAATATACGGTGACATCACAGCTCTCTTCATACATTTGACGTCATCGGGTCGTCACACGAGTTAAGGTTGACGAGCGCAAGCGTACAGAATCCTCGTCGCATGTAGGCAGACCGAGTTAAACGCGTCCGCTTCGTGCCGGGATTGTTGAGGTCCGAGCAGCATCAGGAATGACACTACCTACTCTAGAATCCGTCAGATAATAAGCCTGTTCTTTATCGCCGCGCTGGAATGCGCTAAAATTTTCTTTTCTTCTCGCTTTCACTGTGTACTTCAAATATACATCTATATCTCATTTGCAGTACAACGAAGTACAGCTAATTCAGTTATGAAGATTAACGGACTTAATGCCCATAGCAGCAACAAGAAATACAGATTTTAGATTGCGCCACGACAGATAAACAGGCAAAGAGCGTAGCGGAAATAATTCTTCGAAATAATTCCTTAAACAGATTGTGTACGCGTGTTAAGATTTAACTATTTCCGGTTTAGAACAATACGTGCCGGCGTTGCTTTCTCTGGCTACACACTGCAGCAGGAAGAGGCAGCCCGAATAGAATCGAAATTCACGGCGCGAGCTCTCGCGTTTAATCGAACGAGGCCACTCGTCCATGAAGTGACACACCCTTGTCTGCGCGTCGCATGTCGTTTAATTTACGGCACGCTTCAACTAGGTCGAAAAATCTGTTTTGCCAGAAAAAAAGAAAACGATAGGTCGATAGGCCCAACTCGGACGCGAGCGGGCGATAACGGGATTTATCGTCCTCGCGATTCTCGCGCGCGGAACACGTCAATCGTGCGCGATAACAATGTGTCGATGTCACGTGCAGCATGCTCGAAAAAATAAAACGGAAAAGATAATAAAGCCGCACCACCACCCGACCGAGTTGTTTAACGAAAAGACTGAGGAAAGTTGATAAAAACTTTCCCCGATTTTGAAACGTTCCCGAATGTTTCACGAGAGAATAATTACAAAATAAATAAAAATGATACGTCAAGAGTTAAGGAGCCAAGATGTTCGTGCCATTATAAATAAAATTTAACAATATAAAAATTCAAATAAATAAATAAATAAATAATAAAAATTGCTAAATTGGTTTCGACTTTTAATACGGTCATCATCATTATCGTCAGTGATCTTAAAACGGAAAATGATTACAAAATTTTAACGGAAATACATAAAGTGGATTTGCGCACCTGTTATTAAAATGTTTTTAATAATAGATGCGCTGGATATCATTGAATCAAAAATTCGACGGATGTACATTGTACATTTGTTATCGAAAAGCATAGATCCCAAGCTACGATTGCACGTATCAGTACTTGTTGCGTCTCCGGAATAGAATTAATGATTATGAGCCGATATTAAGAGCTAGACAGGAATGTGTGTACATTCTATTTGTAATGTCATACTATTATTTGTAATGTGATACTATTAAAAATAAAAAGATAATTACAATTTGATTAAAGAACGAATCACAGACACTTTTATGCGAAGTAATCAGACGATAGTATAGGCTGTGCAAATTATACATTTTTGACATGAAGCAGAAACTCTGAGTCACAGCGTATGCGTGCGTCGACCACGTTGCTAATTAGTAATTCAATATTGGGATTACTCTCGCGTTAAAAAGACGCCGTGTCACCCGAGCATGCATGGAGTAACCATTTTTTACCGCACGAACTGTCATCGGGACGAGAGACCTGACAGACGTTCACCTTTCTCTTCGACGCAAGGATCATCATTTAGCGCGACTTTTATGTCCGCGACACGTCCCTGCGATCCAGATACACCGGCCAGATCGAGACCTCGGATTACGGTGTCCCGTCGCAAGAACAAAATCAACAAAATCGAAATTAATTGAAGAATAAGGTCCCGTCACTTATCGCGACCACCACTCTCTACATAGGTACCGTGCGGCAACGTGGTATGTTAATATGATTCATAAGTGGTCTAAATAGGATGTGGCAAAGTGGGGTCAAACGTGGCGACCCTGGACTGCCCTGCGGTCTCCTCTCTCTTTCTCTCTCGTTGCACTCTGGGTCATAAAATCGAATGTTAATCGACCGTGCATTGATTATCTGCCGAACGTATCTAATCGCTACGCATTTTTCCCTCGTGCACCGAACGATCAACCGACGTAGCTTTCATTATACTCTCTATATATAAATAAAAAAACTTCCTCTTGTTAAAAATTACTTGCAACGTCATATAATTTTCATATGAGTTTTTCTGTGTTGATTTTTAAAGCTGAACGTAGCTACATAATACTACATTAATTGAAGAAAATTCAAAGGCAAAATCTTATTAGAAAGAGAAATATAATCAAACATTATGATTATTATTGATCATTTAATTGTTGTTATTTATATTGTTATATCTCCCTTTCTCTTTCGGAGACTTAAACATCTTATATTGCATTCTTGAAGTGGATGGGAAGAGACACTCGTGCAGTGCACTTCGTTATATCGCTGCAAGTTTCCTAGAATGAGTATTAGGTCAAGTTAATTCGTCCGAACTAAAATTTGGAACGCTGACAACACGAATGAAGCTGATAATGAATCACGCGGGAAATATCTAGGCGTCTAAAAGTGCATCTCCAAGAAACGATTTGTATTTAAAAGCCTGAGGCAGTGCTTTCAAATTGTACGAAAAATTGTACAATTTAATAATAATAATAATAATGTAAATTGAATATATATATTATTAATATATTTATATTATTTTTATCGTCAAAATTTAACGAACGTGAGATAACAAAATGTCATTCAATACTTTTCACTCGTAGATATCGTTAAGCAATGTGAATATTGTATTTCAAAACTAACGAGCCTTTCGTTATCTCGACGAGGCAAACGTTAAATACGATAACTCGAAAGAACGAAATCGAATTCTGTTTAAGCCGTGCTTACAATAGATATATGTAACTTTATATAACACTATGTAACTTGAAGATAATGGTCGCGTGATATAACGGAAGAGCATGTGTTGGATTTCGCTGAAATTCGCACGTGCATGCACTCGTCAGGAGAACATCTGCAGAACCGCTACGTCAGCGGATAACTTTTTAACAACCCTCCTTCCTACTAAAACCGTCCTAGATTTTTATTTGCGCTACTGCTTTGCCGCAATCTCTTCTGTACCTCTTAAGAATTCGAAAAATCAACTTGAATAGCAGTAAAGTGTAATCTTTCCAACCGCGGTGTGTAAATTATTTAATTTGAAGCAAACGACAATTTCTACCGTTCCTCGAATGTCGACTTTGTAAACGGATCATTGACGAACGAGGCATTAAAAATTTGATTATCGTTCGCGTTTAAACTCGCTCTAATGAAAATGTGTTAAATTGCAAGCACTTCAATTAACCTGCGATAACAAACTGATGTAACGCATGAGATCGCGATTAGAAATTGATGATTCGTGCACGTGTTCGGACAATCTCGCTTCTCTTTATAAACGCTATATCATATTCAGATATAATCGTCATTTTTCGATTAACACACACGTACTTTCCGAGAACGAAAGTTAAAGATAAAAATAATGTACCACCGTCGATTATCAAGCAGGTTAACGGTAACGACGCCGATAGCTGTGGCTTTTGCGGTTAGTTCTTATCGTCATGGTCATATAGGTTTCTTGGTGTTATTCTCGCTTTTACAAGAGATACGCACTAATTCAACAATACTTCACGTGTAAATTAATAACGTGCAACAATTCACATGTAAGCTCAACACTTAATCAAAAATGATAATATACAGTAATAATTTTATGTGTGTGTGTGTGTGTGTGCAGTATATAAGTTTACAATACTTCAAATATCTAGGCAAATTCCACAATACTTGCATGACAGTAAAAATAATCGCATAGCTATTTCACGTCGAACAGCTTACATGCAAAAAATAAACGAGATTTCTTATATTGTAAATGCCTCATAGTTCTTATCCAATCGTTTTTTACGTTTCAAGACTTTACATAATTACGAATGTGTGGTTGCTCATCGAGGCCGTTTGTATGATATATGTATGTATATGATGCAACACGCAGAAATACATATTTCGGCGCGTGTTCATTGTATACGACAACTGACCGTTGGCTGCTCAATAATGCATGAAGTCGGTAATTAGTATCCCACGACGAGTGTGGGGGTAACTAAATTACGAAATACTTTTTTTTTAACTACATTCTCGCAATTTGTGCATGACTTTCATTATAGTCCAGTGATGCGCAATCTTTTTTAACCCGACAATCATTTTTAGATATAAGCAAAATCTTACGGGCCGCACAATATCTATTTTGGTAGTGTACGTGTGTGTAAATATATATATATATAAAATTTCTTGCTTGTAATATTTAGAAAACTAAATAAAAATTGTACGGATTACTTTTAAAATGACAAAGATTTGCGAACCACATAATGTTATTATTTTGATAGTTTGCATAAAATAAAAAATATAACTTAATATTTTCGGCTATGAGCCGGAAAAAATTAATTGGCGGCCCGCGAGTTGCGCATCACTGTGTAGTCGATAACGCGAACGAGCATAATTATTATATCCTGTATGATGCAAAACAAATTCTTCGCGAGCCAACGTTTTACCATTTTGCTTGCTAGCTCAACCGCATGTCAACAGCGTATCGATAGAAAACGAGCACTTTGCGCTTTTAAATATTTATCATCGAGACAGTGCATGAGTTTGACAAATAATCATTACGAATTCTCTCGCGATTTCTTTTCACTGCAGTAAATTCGACCTGTAAAGTCGCGCAATATGTTAAATTTGGATTTAAATATTTGAGAGAATTTGAGGACGCATTCTATATGGATGCGTTCTCAAACAAGAAGCAGGTAAAATCGGGAAAGTGGTAACCGCGGGGGTCGGTTAACCATATGTAAGTGAGACACAAACGGGATTCCGATTGGCGTTTCTAGCGCGCTAAGGAATGTATTTTCCTCGTCGGAGCATCGGGACGGTTAAAAATGTCGTCGGAGTGCGGCGGCGTGCTGCGTCACGTTCCTCGGATTCGCCCCGTCACGAGCGACGAAAATCGTGACGGAGATATTCGTGGCCGAGAGGCCAGCGCCGTCGTAATATGCAAATATATACGTGTCGCCGGGTACTTCTGGATAGCCGCGTGATATCACACACGAGGTGTATACTTTCGCATCGTGTAATTTAAACGTCGAGTCGTGTCGCCGCGATACATTAAACCAGTCGTGAGGCAAAAGTTGATAAGACGAGCGGATGATCGGCGCAAATGTCGTAAAACACCGTGGCGGACCGGGGCGGCGGAACAACCGATCTCGCATTATCACGTCGGATTTCTCGTCGGGACAGATTTCATCCCGCGGCGGGCACGGCTACAATTTCGCGAATCGCCAGACAAAAAGCAAAATCCATCTACCTAATAGCAATCGTAATTGTTTCACGTTTAATTAACAGTTTGTTGAAAGTTAATGCGCTCACCGGCGCGATAATAGTGCTAATGGATTTCGAAGATTAATGAATATTGATACAATAAATATCTCGATGTACGCTTCTCATTTATCGCCCTCCCCTGCAGGTGTGGCGGGGTTTTACCCGCCAATTTTTCCTATTTATGATATCTATCGCCATTACGCAAACAGGCACAATGAGATAGTGGTAATGGAGGAACGATTACCAAATTAAAAGATAACGATATTGTTAGGAGATTCGGGAGGCGTTGAGAGCCATTGAACGCACGCGGCTGTAAATTCATTTAAACATCATCGGGATCTTCGAAAATAACGGCGAGCAACAGCAAGTAATGGCCGGCCGTTGGAAATTGCGCTTTTAACCCAGCCAATCCGCATTGTCGTCCGCGATCACGGATGACGGCAGATCGAACGTAAAGTAAAAGAGCGGCTCTCCCGATTGTCACGATGACCGCGAAGAATAGAGGGCGATGACTTTTTCAGCCCTCACGACGGCCGACATCCGGTCTTTACCTTTTTTCAATGGTTTTTGCTTGTGCTGGTCGGCAACGTCTCTCTTGAACCCCGCCTTGCTTTCACTTGCTATCAAGCTCTCGCTCGTCTTCGACTTCATCGTGTCGCGCGTTGCGTAACTTTCAGGGACACGAGCCACGCCGGCACACGCACCTCCTCTCTCCTTCCCGTTTTATTCTTCGCGCGATGTCGAGATATCGATAAGATAGCGCCGAGCTCGCTTACAATTAGACGATCGGTGCGCGATTCGTCGTCGGTCGAGATTCGCCTCGAAGTAGTCGCGAGCCGCGGATTCGTATCTCAATCTAATTTACCGTGAGACCACACGGAATTCGTCAGTGAATGAACCGTCGCGCGGCTAATACCTGCGTCTCGATCGGCCAAACCTGAAGATTTGCTGAAAAGTTTAATCACGTATTTACCACGTCGTCCGCTTCGGTCGAATATATTATTCGCTGTACGACACCCTGTATACTTCGTTACGAAGCGTCGTGTAATATAGAATTCTCAATAGATTACCGAGATATCAATTTCACCGAAGGCGATTACGTTGTTTGCCGAGTGTGGAGTGCGTCGATAAAAACGCGGCTGATTTCTTTCCGGGAGGTACAAAACAAAAAACGTCGTCTCGTATTTAACGTGTTTGGCATGCACGCGAGATTTGTACACCGTAGGAATTTTTAGACGATCAACCGACGATTCGCCGAGAGCTGATCTGAATTTCGAAGCGTTCGCTCCGAAGAACGGCGCGAGAAATTTTGACGTGACACGATATCGCGATACACATGCCGATACGGTCGCCGCGACTGCCGATCGTCGACTGCCGACCAGTCACCGTACAGTGTGAGGAGATTCGTGCACTCGTCGAGTCCCCGATTGTCAACCGGTACAGTCGGCGCAGATAATGTTCACTTTCACGGTCGGCTCCGCCCTGAGAGCCTAATCGCGCGACGCGACTTTGCACCTCTTCACTTTGCGCTTTGTACTTTGCCGCAATTTCATTTCTTCTTTTACCTGCATCTTTGCCTCCGATAATCTGTTAAGTGCCCCAGGGGGATTAAAAAATCTTAAAATATCTTCGTGAATCGGCAGATTAAACTTTTTATTTAGCTCGTATAAGCAAACGCAGGCATTATCGGTTATGTTTAAAAATAAAGATTTTCAGGTGCTGAAAATGAATGAAGTTTCCTAAAGTTCGCGAAATTTTTATTCTGAAATTTAATTTCTTTTCCCGAAAAATCTGAAATGTATATTAAAAGTGCAATTATTTTGCAAAAAGCGAGAGATCAGATTAATATTAACGGCATTTAGATTATGCGACTGAAAACTATATTAAGCGTAATTTACAAATGGAATCATTGTATAAGACTTTAATCCAGTTAACTGGAAAAAAATGAATAAAAGTTCGCAAATTTTTTTAAAGACCTTTGGCTACTGTGTAAAATTTATTTTTTTTTCCTTGGAAAATCTGAAGTATACAAATTAAAAGTGCAATTACTTTTTGCAAAAAGCGAAAGATCGGATAATATTAACGGCATTCAGATCAGGTGAATCAGGAAGCTATATTTAAAAATAATTTATAAATGGAACCGTTGCATAAGGCTTTAATCCAGTTAGCTGGGAAAGTGTCCAGCGCCTGTCACAATTTTATCATCATATACACACGCGGCGCCCTAATTCCGTCAGCTTAAACTAGTTTCGCATATAATAGGATTATATGATTAATGGAAGAAGAAATATATGTCGCTCTTCAATTAATGAGACTGCTCTGCAGTTCTGTAAATTATCGTAAATATCTCAACGGTTAAATTGGGTATTCGAAAAATTTCCAAAGCGAAATAAGCGGATGATTCTCGCACAAGTTTCTCGATACAGGAATAAAATGACGATACAACGTCGCCGGAATTCCCAAATCCCCGGAAAGAGTAAGATTAGCTGATATTTTATCTCGCTAATCAATGAGCATTATATTGCAATTGCTGTGCAACTCGGAATTGCGTTATGCCTATCGAGATCGAGTCAAAGGACGGCATACGTAAGACGATGCACCCAGTGTGCATCACATGCACCAATAAGCGTCTGAAATATTGATCCAGGATGCGCACAGGAAATGAGTGCCCTTTCAACTGGATAATCTAATTTCTCCCTGGAGAGCTAGAGAACTGTAGACATATAGACAATTTCAGACTGATGACGATTACCACATTTTCATATCGCCAGACACTTATTCTTTAAAATTTTACTTTATTCTTTAAAAAAGACAAAAGAGCTCTTTTGCAAGAATGTCAGTTTCGACTTAAAAATCGCATTTAATGATTTCCAACAGACATTAATCAAAATAATTAATTTATCAAAATTAATTGTATACAGTTATAATATTTATGGAAGAGCTACGATCACAATTCTCCAAAAACAGAATCGTTACCGAGAAATTTGGCACGAGAATGGGGTTTCGCACCGTTTCCGTGTCGAAAACGGGCGTTTCCGTGCTCAATTTTCCGTCGACGTCAATTAGGGGTCTTCAACGGAGGAGGGATTCTCTCCCTAAAGAGGTGCAGCGTCTATCGTGCAGTTCAAGGGGGGAGGGGGAACAAGTATCGATCAGCGACGTTTGCAGTTTTGTGCGAAACGCGCCCGACATTAACGCGACATCTCCGTGGGGACCCCTCGTTGCCCCCATAAACGTGTCAATGGAAACCGAGAAGAGGGATCAATAACGCGCGTCGATCGTTGCTCCGTCGTTAACTGATCTATTATGTAAACGCCTCCTCGTGCGTGAAATGGCCGTCTCTCACGTGTAAAGTCTTCGCGTAAGGTATACATTGCGAGAGATCGACGGCCACGTAATGTCGCGGATCGGGGTTACGATCGTGTACTGTCGTAACATGATCGGCAAAACCAGCGTCGAAGGCACGGATTAACGATTAAATCCGCGGCGTCGACTATAGGTAATCGATACGAAATTTTTGTTCACATTTTTGTAGTGATCGCTAATTGTCGAAAAATAAATTTGATCAACGTGACATCGAGATTGTTATACATTTATAAATTTAAACGCGTGCAAATTTGTACATCGGCAATTAGCAGAAATTATTATTATTATTACATTCTGCCCTGTGAGATCTAACGCGAATTATGTAGATCTTAGCGAAGCGGACTTAAGCCTGTATATCAGTTTATGCATTAAGATTAAAAATTGAGGATTAGAAGTCAACCAATCGGAACGCGACGGACTAAGGATCTTATTTGACCGGTTGAATTCTAATCTTTAGCTCGTCAAACCTCAATCTCAGTGCGTGGTCTGATACGAGCTTCAGACCATTCAATCATTCCGTAACAGGACGAATACGTCTCGCGCGAAGTAAAAGAGAAAACGGAACGAGGCGTTGATCTCGTCTGCGATGCCACGCGCGATGCATCGGTCGCGTGGGTGGGCGGGAGAGATGCACAATTGCACACAGCGAGCGAATTACGTGCTCGCTGGCGTCTCGGGGTCGCCGGCTCCTCTCCGTAGACAACCGGTCCTGCCGTAATTGCGATCGCGAACAATTCGTGCGATCGCGCGAGCGCGCGGGCGGCGCGGACGATGGACGCCAACTCGTTTCATCTCCGCGTAGCAAATCGCGCGGAGATGAAGTCTCGTTTTATATCGTGGGTATAATGTATAGAAGGCGAAGGAAAGCTCTGTCGAGAAGATGCAATTAAAACCGAAAGAGATTCCGTAGGATTCTCGGAGGAAAAACACTAAACGAAGAGGGGCTCGGTTGTTTTTCCCTTATCCGATTGCTCCAATCGATACCTCGTCCCGGAGAAATGAGAACGTTTACTTTTGCGTTTACGAGCACAGCACACGATTGACAATAGCGTTGTATCGACATCGGGCCGTGAGGAACGGTCTCGAGGATTTCGAGATGCCGAGCGGTAAATTAACTGCGGTTTTTCCAGGCGAAAGCGCCAACGGACGCATTAGCGACGCCTATTCATCGAGTGACCGGCACGTGCCGGTAGGCATTCACAAATTGTCGAAGGCACGCTGCGTTTCTGTGCAGCTTCCGAAGCACGCGTGTTTTATTTATAGCGCAAAACTGGACGAAACGGCTCGAAACGATGAAGACACTCGAAAACCGAAGGGCCCCAAGTGGCGTTTTGCGTCATTCAGATTGTAATTCATTTTCGACGTTCCAATTAATTAACGCACGATAATCCCGATACTTCGGTTATTACAGCTTGGTTAAATATAACGTATTTTTCACGTCTTGATTCGATGACTAATGCATGGCTACTTCGATAATTTTGATTACTACAGCAAGTGTTCAAACGTGGCATATAATTAAAGGTCTTGTTTGTTTTACTAATGAACAAGAATAATAAAGATAAAGCCATTTAGTTATCGGATATCCAAGACTTCTTCTAATCGCGCTATCCATCTGTGCGTTTATTTCAATATATGTTACTCTAGTAAACGTCTTTGTTAAAAATGGTCCAAATATTTAATTTTTTCTAGTTCAACGCTAACTTCACGACTCTAAAATGAGATACATATATGATTCTAGAAATAGACAGCAGACAATCTAAGGAACTGGGTAAGTTAATCGAGTGAAGCCAGCATTTTCACGGAAACCTGATCGTTGAGAATGCAACACGAATGAACCAGAACTCACTCGAGTGAGAAAATGATCGTTTTCCTCGCGCGCGAGAAGATCGGGGAAGAGGAGATGCGTCGCTAGAACGGAAAAAAAGGGGAAGAACCAGAGCGATCAGGATCGAATAATGCAAGATTCTTCAGACGAGCGCGTCGCGTAAAATGCGATATGCAAAACGAGAAAAAAAGGACGGAGGCAGAGACAAAGAGCGAGAGAGAGAGAGAGAGAAACAGAGAACAAGCGAACCCACGCATGGGAATAACAGGGAGGGAAAGAAAGGGACGACACCCAGGGGACGAGGGGGGACTCTCGCTCACGCACGGCGCGTACATACGCGCGAAGTAGGGGGGCTCGCCCTAGAAAACGTCAAACCGACGGATTCACCTATTTATAGACCACCGAGTGAGTTCGCGGTACGAGCCTTTCGGAAAACATCCGCCGTACTCTCGGGATCGCGCCGAGAGGGACGAGCGCGAGCGTGGAAATCGGACGGAAATCGCGCGAGCGCAGGGGCGTATTCCGCTTCCCATGTACATACGCGCACTCGTCAGCGCGGGGACGAGCGAACACAATCGGACGCTGCATTCCTTCCTTCTCTCTTCTCACCTCTCTTTTTTTCTCTCTCTCTCTCTCTCGCTCTCTTCACCCGTGGCGCTTCTCGTTCTCGCTGGCGGATCGTCGAGAGTCCGTCGACGCGAGAGAAGAGGACGGACGAGGAGGAAAGAGAGGAAGGCAAGGAAAGAAGGAGCGACGGAGAGAGCGAGCGCGAGCGGGCGCCCAGCCGGCGTTCTGCCGCCGATCTTGTTCGCGGAATGCTCTTACTCACCCATCTTCGGGAGCGGCGCGTACTGCGAGCTGCGGAACGGCGGCGGCGTCCTCGTCGCGCGCGGATCACGCGTTCATAGCACGGGACGCTGGACGGCGGGGCGGGCGCGCGCGACGCGCGTTTCACTTAGGAAATCGCGGAAAAAGGCGAGCGACGTTCCTGCCACGGTACGCAGGACGGCCGACATTGCGGCGCCGGAGCCCGTGCCGTGCCGAGCGCGGCGCGCAGCTCGCGCCTGCGCGCGACGCGCCGAAGGCGCCGGCCGCTGTCCGCATCTCGCCGGCGCGAGATTCGAACGGTCGCGGACGCCGACTCGCGTCACCGTATTCGCGTTCCGTACCGTCCGTCCGCGGGATATTTCCTCGCCCGGAATATTTGAATCCTCGTGGCAGGAGATGTAATCCCTATATGCTATTCGAAGTCGCAATACGAAAGCTTCGTATTACGAATGAAAACTCTCTGCCACTCTGAAATGAAAAGATTCTTGCCAAAAGATGGTACGTAAAAATCGAATTCGTATAAAAAAAAAATTGAATCAAATTGGATCGAGAATTTGGCAGGAATTTGAAAACATTATAAATAGATATTAAACGCCCGTATTAAGTTTTGAACGCATTTATTTCATTTTTGGTAATTTATATTGAACGATCTCCATAATAAATATATGAACGTATGTGCGTGATGAATTCGAGAATATTTATAATTTTCATTTCATAAATATATACGGATTCGTAGACATGTATGGTATGTCCATCTGGTCGGCAACTTTGAATTGCTGCGTATGATATAATGTATTTACCGTCACGTGATAAATGTTGCATCTGACAACATCGATAATTCAGTTTTCTTCTAAACAAAATTAATTATCCATATGTGTTATCAGGAGAGTATTGATAAAGTAGGAAAAATACATTCTGCTTGAAAAGAAATTTCAGAATATTATGAATATCATATATTGCACAAGTATATATTGCTCAACTACGAGCAATTATACTCTCGTATAATGAAATACTGTTTGCTAACAAAATAATGTCATTCTAAGCATAGGCCTTTCCTTTTTTGCAAATCTATATCAAATGAATTTAAAAAGATTACAAAAAATGAAAGAATTCCAAATAATGGAATTAAAAGCAAACATTATAGAAATAATTAAATAAATCTAATCAAATAAAAAATTGCAGAAATTTCAAATATACGGAACAATCAAGTGGAAAATCGGTTTAGCAGATTTATCATTAAAAATTATTTAAATCAACAGAATGCGCATTTTATTTCGCAATCATTTTAATTGTGCACTCCTCTGTAGAGCAAAAAAAATTAAAAAAAGAAACAAAACTTAGCGATCCTTATTAACGCTAATTATCCAGAACGTCTCCTAATTTGCATCTAATCGTTATCAAACGGATTCTCGCGGATTTCAATTAATTACGGACTTAGCCGTGGAGTCTCTTTGTGTTCTCTACGATTTACGGAGAACGACGAGATACAGGTGGCGGCAGAAGTGCCGTTCTCTCGATTCTGCGTTCCTCCCCATTTCTCCCCTCCCGTTGCTCACCCTCGTTCCGGGCGCGCATCGGCGACTGCAGCGGCCCGAAGAGAGAGAGCGCGCGTTAATTGGTGGGACCAATTAATTCCGACAAGTTCGCTCGATGTGATTAGCGCGCATACGTGGCGACGGCGATGGTGGTAGTAGCGGCGACGCGGTGGTAGTGGCGATGGTGGTGGTGGAGGTGGTGGTGGTGGTGGTGGTGGAGGAGGTGGTGGTGGCGGCGGTGGCGATGCGTGCGCGCGGTTTACGTAGCTTGATGCTGCGCTCCCCTTATACATCCTGCACCACCGCCGTCGCCGATCTGCCCCCCGGAAACCGAGGAACCTGTTCCGCCGCGCGACACTCTGCTTTCTCACATTCTCGCGGCTTTCGCACGAAAGATATCGCATCGGCGCGACGCGCCGGTTGCGGGCACAAATTACCAGAGCTACCGCGGAGCTACCGGGGCTACGTGACCGAAGAGACGATCTCCCGCGAGGAAGGTCTGGACTGGACCACGCGATTTGCCGATGCTCCGTTCGCGAGCGGACGAACTATCGCGCGTATAATGAATTCCTGCATACTGAGAAAAAAAAATTGTTGATTTAAAAAAATATTATTTCATTCAACTAAATGCGGCGGTCACGGGCTGTCAAGCAAACATTTGTTAATTCAACAAAATACTTATTAATTCACAAAAATATCGTGTTAATGATGTATCATGTTGTATTGATGTATGTTTAATTCAAAAACATATATAATTGAATCAAAGAAAAACTGTCAACAAAACGCATTTAGTTATTTTAACAACTTTTTTTTTCTCAGTGCAC